GATCTATTCGTAGCTCTGAAGCACTTACAGCACTAAATGGAACTATTTACTAAATCTTATCCAAGAACTGTATCCCGTTATAGCAACCTAACCTAACCTTTTTCATTTGACAGTGAAAAGAGAACAAGATAAGAGCAATTGCTATGATTATTTATACATAGCATGAAATATTATAAATATCAATTTTATGGCGAGATAAGTGAGATATACGGTTTTATTCTTTTAATTCTACACTAAATTATATACAGCACTTGACAACTTAACAGCGGCCATATTCTTTCTATACGATAGAATGAGAAAGCAAGCTAGGGGCAAATCAACTTTCTCACTCTGTTTTAAACTGCCAACTTCCGGCTTCACTCGCTGCTACAGCAGAAGTATAGGAATGCTTGGTCTATGTATATACGTCATTGGTCGGGCCCTCACGGGTGCAACAGCGTCGTTCTCTCTCCGTGACGGAGGAGATGCGCGGGGACATGAGAATTGCCTTGTTACCTGCGTTTCCAAAGCGGCGCTGTGCGTACGCTGCCGCATTGCCGTGTTTGCGGATTCATCGCGCGCATCTTGGTCCAACGGCCGCGTTTAATTAACGACTACTGCCGGCGCGGCTGCGGCCGCTTCGTTCGAATTTCCTGATACCGTTAGTCTTTGTTACGACGTGAATTGCCGCGGTAAGTTCTCGTTCCTTATCGAGTCCTAAGCAGATATATTATCGCGGAAGAGTATCGACGTGGAGAGCGAGCGCGCGCGCACACATACACACACAGTCGCTGGCGCGAGGCAAAAGACGCGAGTAATCGATCGCTGTTTAAGCTCGCTTAGCATGATCCCTAATCTATATGTATGAAATAGAATGTCTGTCTGACTGTCTGTTTGTATGTGTCCTCTATAAACTCTTAAACTGTTTAATCGACCAATTTGGACCAAAGAGAGTGGCTAAGTTTCGCCTGATTTTGGAGTCTTCGATAATAACAATTCTTTTTTAAGATTCTTACGATTAAAGCTCACGTCGAGAATTGCGCGAATTCAAATATTTAACTCTCCAATCTGAGTTGTCGAGATAAATGGACTAAAAATCAATGCCAATTTCAACAAATGGCGCCAGAAAAGATTGGCTTAAACTCAGCGTGATTTCGACCGGATAGTGTTTTCATGTTCAGAGTGAGGGACGTCTTTTAAGGATAGATTTTTATCGTTCACGAAGGACGGACAACGTTAAGCGACACTTGTCTTTGTTTACATGACGTCATCTGCTAAAACTGGGACTCTTTTGGGCCATTCTTCTCGAAGTAAGAGGCTCAGATTAGAGTTACAAATTTGGAATTGACTCGAAACGTGAGTTTTTATAATTGTATACAAAAAGAATTTTCGTTATCGAGGGTCTCGAAATCAGGTGAAATGGTCTATGGACATTTGGTCGCACTCATTACATAGTTATTCTCTAAGACCCTGCGGAGAATATAGGCTACCATAAAGCCTAGACACCTCATCTGCTCTCCATGATTTTATCCCCTTAACACTTTGTGATAACTTGGGCAACACCCGGGCAGTTTCAGCAAGTTAATTACAAAACGTAGTTATATAAACGCAATTCCCGCCGATTCCTCTCGATTTGCTCGTACACGAAAAAAAGGATTTGCTGCAGCAGCAAACTAATTTGCTATATATGGACAGTTAAACATAATTCACTGTGTTAGCTACTTTTTCGTTGCTGCAGGAACCTGTGATAACAAGAAAATCTGCTTGTACAGCAAGAAAAGTAGCTAATGCAGCAAATTTGCTACAGATGGACAACTAAACATAATTTACTGCTTCAGCTATTTTTTGTCGCAGAAGCAGATTTTCTTGTTATCTTAGCAAGGAAATTGGTTCCTGCAGCAAAGAAAAAGTGGCTAACACAGCAAATTATGTTTAGTTGTCCATGTCTTTTTTTTCCGTGTAAAATTGTTTCGAATATCGACAGCCTATAGAGTCAGATTGAAAGAGTAGCGCGCGTAATTGAGGCCGTTAATTAGGCCGGTGCGGCGTAATGATTGCCCGATGATAATGTGCCGCGTAAACAACAACAGCTGGGACGGCGGACAGTGGAATCCGCAAACGGGAAACGCCTTAAAAGGAGAAACGGCGGGAAGGTACCACAAACATTCATGAAAACTCGCGTAAACGTTCTCGCTTTTTCACTCTCAGCGGTACCGGCATATCTGCCGGCTGCGCCAGCGAGGGATGCCCATTCGCCACTTCCTCGCGAAGGTTGCCACAAAAAGGGTCGTTCCTAAAAGTCCCGTATAAATAATGCATGTCGCAAGAAAAAAAAGTTCCAGTTACCGCGACTACAAGTCAAAAGTGCTGCAGGAACGGCCGGTTCACTTAAGCATTTAACCTTTTGCGAGTTTTACAAACGTCTCTTGTATATAAAAACAAGTCTCTCGCTACGGAGAGATGCGTTATTTCCCTGGGAAACTCAGCGAAAAGAGAAAGGGGTAGAAAGAGAGGGAAAAAAGGGAGAGAGAAACATCGCAGTTTTGCGAGGCGAAGTTTACATACAAAAATGCCGACGCGATATCGTAATTTGATAGTTTGAACATTTGGACCCATTTTCTTCTCTCTCAGAGAGAGAGTTAAAAAAACGAACTGCGCACATAGGATGCAGATTCAAGCGATCGTGATGACGTGGGCGGCACAATTCATCAGAATTTGCAAGCTCGCACATTACGTGTCACCTTCGATATTCGCGTCCACTTTGAGCGTTATTAAATCGCCATTTTGTAATTGCGTATATTCGTTGGACGGCCGTCTAGTTTGTCACGCGCGCGCGAGTCATATCCGAAATATATCGTCGAATAAAACAGCTCGTTACGGCGTCTCGTCGCTCGACTGACAAATTCGCCTTCCCCGTGCCTCCTTCTCCTCTTCCTCCTCTTTCTCAACCAACGACGACGGCGACGAGGACGACGGCGACGACGACGACGACGACGACGACGACGGCACCTCTTCGTCGCCGCTAGATTAATATAACGCGACGAGAGCAGAAGTCGCGATATTTCTTTTTGCTCAATTTTAGACTCACTGCAGCGCTCACGAGACTCTCTCTCTCTCTTTCGTTTTCTCCCTTTCTCTTTCCCTCGTCATGAAGGGACGCGTGGCACGTATCTTCTCGCGACAAGCTAAATTACGGGAGGGCATCGGAGCGACGGTAGCAAAGTAATAGTCACCATGATGACGACAGACGGTCCCTCGTGAACCGAGACGAGAGTGTCCGCTGCGTCGGTGTCTCAGATCATGAAGAGAGTGTGAGAGAAGGATGCTCTTCCGACTTTCTCAGAAAGAGGGAAAGAGAGAGAGACAGAGGAGGGAATGAAGTTCAGCTGAAAGATACGTAGTTGACATGATGATTCGCCGTGCAGCGAGATCGTACGGCAATTCACTTTGAATTTCATTGAATTCGCTGCGTATCGCGCACGTACGTTCTCGATACCGCCGTATCGCAACGATGCTGATAGGTGTACGATCACAATAGTAGAGCAACGCGCATGCTGAATGCCACCCATAGCGGTGGTTTTCAAAATCATGGTTGAGTGCTCCATTAACCCCGCAACGCGTGACTTCGCAATGAGAACATTCAGTAAGCGGCACTAACATGGGGGAATGATGTCGAAAAATTCAAATGAGATTTCGCGAGATCATGCCAAAATAGGTTGGATTTATGTAATGATGGAAAGTTTATGGATCCACGCAGAAAACAAAATTCAGCTGGCCAAACCAATTCCCGAATCCTTCACGTTATTTCACCTGAAATTGGTTCATCCAGTCAAACCCTTTTTTCGTGTACAATGAGAAGAAAATACTTGAAATTTTACTTGTGGCATGCAAGTTTATTCGTAAAAAGAAACTCGGTATCCGACAAATAAATTTTCAAGTATTTCTTTTCTCACTGTGAAGTCCACGTGCGCTAAAGTCCATTCGCAGCGAATTAGTTGTTAGAATTTCGCAACGCAACGCCCACGACGAGCGCGTGTTTAATCGGCGACTGAACGTCTCCTACGAGGAATTGTACAGAAGCATAAAGGGTGCTTCTCTGAGGGGCGGAAACGAGTGGTGGTGTGCTCTATATGAATCGTGGAAGTGCCGACGCCGACCTACTCAGACTTCCTCTTTGCTCTGTCCTCTCTCTCTCTCTCTCTCTCTCTCTCTCTCTCTCTCTCTCTCTCTCTCTCTTCCTTCCTCTCTGTCTCGTCTTTCTCGCAAAAGATTCTCTACAATGATGCGATTACATTACAAAAGTCGCTGGCGATATTTCGCGCCGGATGAGTGCCAAGTACGTACAGTCGTGGCCGCAGATTTATTTACTTACTTCGCGTTACATCAGCCGTAAAATTAGCGGAGCGCCCGAGAAAATTATTTCGGCTTGAAAGCCGGCACTTCTTTTTCTTTCACTTTAACTGTTGTGACGTTAATGCGTTTTACAAACGCGGGAGAGCGGAAGATCGCGAAATACGGTGCATTTGAATAACTGTGGAATTTCGTATTAATAGCTAAGCGTGTGTACATACACACTCTCTCAGCCGTGGTGAAATGTTGATCCTATATTAATCTCGCGAGTTTCCTCGAAATCGAAGGATTAGTGGAAAAATTCAAGATGCGACATCAGACAGATGCCCACTGAAATGGTTGCCCCCCCCCCCCCCCCCCCCCCCCCC